CTTTCTTTCCCCAGAAAATTCGGGCAGTTCTAAAACGATGGGAACAATGGACCTCGAAAGGTTTTCAGCGGTAGTTTTGTGGCCATGGTCGGGCAATGGTTGTCCAAATAGATCCACTCACCGAACCTACTTTTAAAGTGCCTTTGAAGCCGTGCCAGCGATGCTTTTGTGCCCTAGAGGGGTCAACAATGGCTATTCATTTGACTCCTTAGGTTCCTTAGGTGGTGTCCTCTTAGTTGGTTTCCTCTGTTTTCACAGGTTCTGGGGGTTTGTTCCTCAGTTTCCCTTAGGTGTCTCGTATTCTTGAAGGTTCCTCGACAACTCACAGGTTGGGCATTTGCCCTGAAGCTCCTCAGGTGGTTGCGCAGATTTCCTCACATCCAACAGAACAGGATGTCTCGAGATGTCCGTTTAAATCGGGTAAGTCCCCAGTGGGTGCAATCCCAGTAGCACGTAGAGACTCAGATTGTCAGATTGGGTTGTCTCCGGCAGGAATTGATCCTCAGATCCTCAGATGATCTTTTCCTTTCGCTGACAGCTGTCCTCAGATGTCCTTTCTTCTTTGGGCTCAAGCGTTTGCCTTTGGTTCTGCCTTTTGCATTGCTCGTCCCTTCTTCGCGGAGTTTCATGTAAGCTCCGTGAAAATCAGATTCTTCTGCCTTCTTCCAGTGTTTGGCCCTGGCTCTGCTTCTCTCAAGTTCTGGGCGCGTGAGTCACAGCTCAGGAGCTGCTAGCTGTGGCGGCTGCAGGAGATGCCGCCGCCTGCGAGCAGCTCTCTGGGCTCGTCTCGGCAGCTCAAACCGATTTAGGCGCGAAGCCATCGGGCCTTTACTTGGGCATCCAGCTCGAATTTGTCGCCCCGGTCTGCGGAAGCCTGAAGGTGGTTGGTGTACTTTCTGAATGGATCCAAGATGCAACTCAAGTTTCATTCAGAGTTACCCAATGCGCAGAAACAAAATCCGCCAAACCGCTTGCCCCTCCTTTTTCCATCCGGGAGTCTCAGTCCGAATCGATCTTTCCGACCTTGTGGGTTTGCCGTTTTTGGCCCATGTTCAGTCAAGGTCTCAAAAGGTCTGCCTTTTACTTCCAGATCCTTTGGGCTTGTGAAGTGTACCCTTTTTGTTCAGGGTGGCCCTCTTTGGGATGGTTTACAACGACATACAAGCAACCTGGGTGAAATGCATACGCGGGATAGATGATTGGAACACTGTTTTTTTTGTTGTTGAGGCTGGGTACCCCCTGTTTGGTTGTGTAGAAGAGAAAGCAACGGGAAGCCATGCAACTTCATCCATGCTCTAGCCCCCCCCCATTTTGAGACACTCCCAGACTGAATTCTGTACCCAAAAAGCAAACGCTAGAGGAAAACAGATCCTGTCAAGCACCGCTCCACAAGGATGATTTGGGCTTGTCTCAAAGCCGGAAACCCAACAAACAATTAATGGTTTCCTCTTAGCGTCCTGTTGAAACAAGCCAATAAGGTATCCGAAAGAAATACAAAAACACCCGCACACATACATGAATAGTGTCGAAACAGCCAAAAGAACATATTACCAAGCAGACCCGCAGCACCTGGCCAAATGGATGCCTTAAGGGACGGGGACGCTCGACTTCCTTGGGACCTTCTGGCTTGTCAAAAAGAGTCCGCAATCCAACGACCAATATTTTCTAGTGCCTAAAAGTCAATTCTATTCGGCCCCTTTGGACAGAGTTTCCCTGGGTTCTGGCACAAGATTATCTCTCCCAAGAACAGTTTCTGGTTGCCTACCAATGTTTTTGTTGTCGTTTGAGACGCTTGACTTGGACCGTCACCATTTCGGGCCAAACTTGAGTTCGCTTTCGATGGAATCCTTTTCGCGTCAGAGAAACAGCTGTGCAGGAAACGGAGGAGTCCCAAGTACAGCGGGCCAGCACGCTCTTTTTGGGGTGTAGACTTAGAGTTGTGGTATCGGCCGAACACAGTGAGGTTCCCCCTTCATCCCTGGGTTTGAAAGGGAAGCCAGGACACTCAGGACACACCTGCCTTTGGGGTCTCTCTCTGAATCCCGAGAAGTGGATTTACCCAGAGTATCGCCAGTGAGAGTCAAACATGGAAACAGGATTTGCGATCGAACACAAGATTTTTGTTCCATAGGGGTTGCGCCAAGTGGTACAGAAGTTTACTGCACATTTGCAGTTTGCATTGCAACCAGTGGATTTAGATCATATTTCTCCAAGTCGAATAGCAGGAGGCAAGTGCCACCGAAACAGATTACGTGTATTTGTTGAGAGGCCCCCTTATGTTCTGTCAGGATTACAACACTACAACATGCGATTGCCTCAACGCAGCAAGTAGGGAACCATGGGCGCCTTGCGTGTGTGTGTGTGTGTGTGATGTTCGATGTTGTTCTCGCTGTTTGGTGAGTGGTGAGTGAGTGTACCCCTCAGGCTGGCCCGTCAAAGTGGGAGCCCGCCTTTTCCTCCGAGGTAAATTTCCGGGATGCTGAGGGCAACACCCCGCTCCACGTGGCTGCGGAGGAAGGCAGGTCGGGGCACAGATTTGTCTGGTTGCATCAGGCAAAACAAGCAATACACTATCTAATCGCCTGAATCAGCTTTCAATGGCAGGTATGTTAGTAATGCAGGAATGACATGTCTATGACTGACTTGCTTTCCGTGTGCAGATGCTTTAGGGCTGAGTGGGACCAGCTCTTTGCAGCGAGTTTCATTTCAAGGGTCAACACAAGCTCACTGACAAGGGACTTTGGACGCATTCTGGAAAAAGCAGGAACGTGCGAACGGGGCAAGTGAAGGTCAGAAAACATTCCCAACCATAAATAGGTGCATGTGTTCGCCCTTTTGGGATTACCTGGTTTTTGAATAGACCCTTTACCAGGTGTTGATTGCAGGTGTTCTCGCTATCTACCTTCGTGACCTTCTGACACCCTCCCGTACCGAGCCCGCTTTTCCGTGTGTCCGGATTCGTAGGTCACAGCGAGGTGATCCGAGTGTTGCTCACGGCGAAAGCCAACCCCGAGCTGCGGAATTCCTACGCGCTCCGGGCCTTGGATTTGGCCGCCAACGACTCCGAAGCCTTTGCCTTGCTGGGCGAGATCACGGCGGTGGACACCCGCCACCGCAGCTCGGAGACGAGTGCTGTACTGGGAATGACCTGGGCCACACGAACCCCTGATTACGCTTGGGAACAGGTGGTGACTCTTTAAAGTCCAAAGCTAGTTGATGAATACCGTGTCTCTCGTAGGATTGGCACGACATGGCGAACCCCCCGAAAAAGACAACTTGTTCCCCTTGGACGTCCCTTCAAAACAAGCGCGCACACACCACACAGGAGATACCCTCACAAACACGCCCACCCGCGTGGGTTGCAAACAAAAAGCAACATGATTTCGCAAGCGGACCCACTCCGTTTGGTGAATTGTCTATAAAAGGAACCCCACGGATTTTGTTTCAAGAGGGCTTTTGAATGTCTGCATGCAAGCGTTTGACCGTGCATGGCCCACAGTAGCTTTTCCAATGTCAAAACACACCCGCTTGTTTGCGACAACTTGTTCTCAGTCAACAGCAGAAGTGGGCCGTTCGACCGTGTGTTGTTCGGGTGACCGCCCATGCTATTTAAGTGTTGTGTTGCACAATATATTAGCTTTGCGGGGTGGACGCCCCAACATCAGAGGCACGTCTTGCAGTGTGCTTTGGACATTTTGATGACTGAGACGTTTCGTGTTTTGTTGCTGCAGCTTCGCATGGTCTATGTTTGCCATTCATTCTTCAGGCCCAGTTTAATAATCAAGTCAACAGCAGGCGCACAACAACAGCCTGCTGCCGCGTGTTTATGTGTTTGCCCTCTTGTGGGCTCGACGGGCTTTGAGCTACCAGTTTCCAACGTGCAATGAGGCTGTGAGTTGCGTTTGCTGGGTGGGTGTGTGTGTGTGTGCATGTACCTGTGTCGCCTCAGTTGTTTCGCCAGGCAGATCTTCAGAATAGGTTTGACATGTTGGATCAGAGGCCTTGATGTTCAACGCTGCCTTTTATTTTCGCCCTTGCTGTCATGCCATGGGTTCATTTCAAATACACTGTCTGATGCCAGTGCAGCACCATCATGGATGTTGGCAGGTATTTGCTGAGTTGGAATGCTAACAGCTTTGATTTGGAGCAATGTTGATTATAAACTTACTGTCTAACTTCCTAGCACCCAAGCCTTCGGAGTGTTTGCAGAGTGCTGTGCCAAACATCGCTCACTGGCTGCTTGTTGCACTGAACATCTCTTTTGTCAAGCTACCTTCTGTTAACTGTCCCGTCGCGGTCAGTCCAACAAGCCTTGCGCTGACAGGCCATGGATTTTCCCTGGGCGAGCGACGCGACTCCCTGGGCGGTGTTTGAGGAAATTCTTCCAATTCGCAGAGAGGATGCGACCAGAAGGCACTCAACTTGCGACTTCCTGCCTCAGCAGTTTGCTTCTCCAGCGGTATTTTGCAGCACGTCTCCCAATTCTTCATTGCTCTTCCCATGGTTTTCACCATATTTGTACTGTGTCATGATGCCACGGATGTTTAAAACCCTAGCTCTGGACCTAGCTGAATGTTTTGCTTCGTTTTTAAGAATGGGGAAGCTTCATCTGGAAGCGCCAGATCCAGTAGGCGGGCCCCCTGCGAGACCTTGGCTGAAAGCCACACAGTGCTTGAAGGAGGTCCATTTTTATCGCCAGGTGCGAATTCGCTTGCATGCGAGGCAAGGCAAGCCAACTGGCGAGTCGAAATACAGGAATCTGGCACAATCTCCAAAAAGAGTTGTGAGTGCTCATCCAGGTGAGAGCTTGAATTATCCTGTGCTGTGTTGGAAAATGTGTTCATGCGCCCTTTCTGTATATTTAGCATTGTTTTCCGTAGGGGTGTTCGGTTGGGCCCTGCCTTGAAGCTATGGACCGCTTTCCAACTTTGGGCATCGGGGTCTGCGAAAGGAGTCCCCGATTCGCAGGCCTTGGATCTCCTGGAGGAGCACGGAGCTGCGCCTTTGGCCGCCAGAGCGGCGGTGTCAAGGCACCGGACATCGGCTGCTTGTGATGCTGCTGCTACACTCGATGATCCACGTGCGTCTATGTTCGGTGGCGGAGAAGAATTCTTGAGACCAGGTGCCATGTTGGGGTTGCAACAGGCAGAATGGTTTCCAAAGAAGGTGTAGCCTCAGACAAACGGTCTATGCGCATAGATGGAATGTCGTGTTTTCGGCAAATGGGATGGGAGGTCCGGCAGTTCACCGGGGTTCATGGAAAGGGACACTTTGCAAGGCCCCTTGCCAGAATTTTAAGACATGTTCAATTAGGACACTTTGATTTCCTTGACTCGTCTCTGTTGAGGAGGCAACGAAGTAGCGATCAGGGAAACCAAGCATACTGGAGGGCTTCTGGGAGTGAAACAGGAGATGTGCGTTTGCTTATTCGTGTTTTCCCCCTTCTTTGCAGGGTAAAGCTGCCCAGCCGAGAGGAACGTTGATGGCTTCTGAATTAATGCGTTTCGAGACGTGGCGCCAGGTGTTTGCGACCACTTTTCTCCACCCTGCCAAGGAGGCACAGGGCCGATTTTGGAGAAAGAGGGCCACTACAGGGTGATTTGTAGGGTACCGAACCCAACTGTTTTCTACTTCGCCCTTCATTCTGTAAGTTGACGGATCTCTCCAGTAAGTTGTGGAGGCCCCAACCAAGAAGTAGCCTGATAAAGGCACGTGGCCATGTGTAGAACTGCAGTTCACTTTGTTTCCTTTTCTTCTTTTTGTTTTTTCCCCTTTTTTACGCAGCGAGTCCTGAAGGAAATTGGCCATTTGGAAGAGTTCCTACTTTACAAGCGCTGACATACCGCTTTCATGCCACTTGATGCTGTTCGAGCGACAAACTATGAATGGACGTGTCCAGCTGACTATTCATACACAGAAACCGTACTCAATTTGATTGAATTGCAAGCCGATCTCACACACGAAGCAATGTTAGGGCACATGGTGCACAGCGTATTCTGACAGACTGACAAGTTCATTCGTAATTATGTGTGACCCTTCTGATTCATCACTGCAAGAGAATGGGTTGTCCAGCTGAGTGGCTAGGAAGCTGAGTCATGGCTGACAGATCCGCCTTCGGTGAGGCAGAGTTTGCCGGTCTCAACTTCAAGCCACTCGGCTGTGCAATGGGAACAGTGCATCGTTTTCTCGCTCGACGGGCCGGTGTGCGAGTCCTTTGCCGCTGTGGACCGTAGCATCTTTTGCTGAAAGTAGATGAACCCCCATGGCTGAATAAACACTCGCAGAAACTATCAATGACACTGACAACGAAGCGCTTTTGCTGCAAAAAGAAAAAGCAAGCGGGAAAGGATTGCCACATCACAACATTAACCTTTTGCGGGGAGCTTTCAGCTGTGGTGCGAGTTTCCGTTTTTGATCCAATGTACTCTTGGCTTGCTTGCTTGCTTTTTTGAGGTTTGTTTGTTTGTCTGCTTTTAGCCTTTTGCTTGTTTGTTTGGTTTACTTGGTTGTTTGTTTGTTTAGAGCTTGTTTGTTAGCCTTCTTGTTTGCTTGTGTGTTTGCTTGCTTGCCTGCCCACCGGCCGGCGTGCTTGCTTGCTTGCTTGCTTGCTTGCTTGCTTGCTTGCTTGCTTGCTTGCTTGCTTGCTTGCTTGCTTGCTTGCTTGCTTGCTTGCTTGCTTGCTTGCTTGCTTGCTTGCTTGCTTGCTTGCTTGCTTGCTTGCTTGCTTGCTTGCTTGCTTGCTTGCTTGCTTGCTTGCTTGCTTGCTTGCTTGCTTGCTTGCTTGCTTGCTTGCTTGCTTGCTTGCTTGCTTGCTTGCTTGCTTGCTTCTTTGCTTGCTTGAAACTTGTTTGTTTGTTTGTTTGTTTGTTTATTTCTTGTTTGTTTGCCTTCTGGTATGCTTGCTTGTGTATTTGCTGGCTGCCTGGCTGGCTGGCTGGCTGGCTGGCTGGCTGGCTGGCTGGTTGGTTAATTGGTTGGTTGCTTGCTTGCTTGCTTGGTTGGTTGTTGGTTGGTTGTTGGTTTCTGTTGGTTTCTGTTGTTGTTGGTCGGTGTTTTGTTTGTTTGCTGGCTTGTTTGGTTGTTTATGTTGTTTGTTTGTTCATTTGTTTGCGTTTTTGTTGTTTGTTTTGTTTGTTTTGTTTGTTAGTTTTTTGTTTCTTTGTTTGTTTGTTTTGTTTGTTTGCAACAATGTTTCCGGGGACAAAACAGTTGCGCCCAGCTGTTGCTGTTTGACAGCATTGCTCGTGGGAAGCTTCTTGGCTGAATTTGGGACCAAAAGGCAAACGCCAGGGACGGCTTGGTATGCCCATGCTCCGAATTAGCAGCCACCAGCGCATCTTGCATCCAAGGGAGATGGCTGATGGAGAACGGCCAGTGGGCCAGAGAGGCCTCGACCATAGTGGGGCACACATGATGTATGGCCACATGCCATGGGCTACAGTCTGTGACGGTTCCTTGGATGCAGTGCTGTTGATTGCGTGTCATGCACGTCACGTGTCC